TGTCATATCTGCAAAAAACCTTTTATCAAAAGTGATAAGGTTCGGGATCATAATCATCTGACAGGACAATATCGTGGAGCTGCACATAACAGTTGCAATTTGATTTATCAAGATTCTCACACCATTCCGATCGTATTTCATAACCTCTCCGGTTATGATGCTAATTTCATTATTCAAAGTATTGCAACATCATTTGAAGGTAACGTGAAAATTCTGCCAGTGAGTAAGGATCGATATATTTCATTTACTAAATATGTTGCGAACACTTGTGTGCAGTTACGATTTGTTGATTCGTTTCGTTTTATGGGGAGTAGTCTCGAAAGATTAGAAAATTATCTTGATAATGATCATAAAGAGACAATCAAAAAGTATCAAACTGATTTAACGAGTTTTGATTTGTTGTGTAGGAACAGTGTATTCCCCTATGAATACAATGATGATTGGGATAATATAGATGAAACGGGATTAGCAGTTAAAGAAGGATTTTATTCAAAATTAACTGATCAACATATAACTGATGAAGATTATCAACATGCTATTAACATCTGGAGTGCATTCAATCTCAGTATATTGGGGGAGTATTAAGATCTTTATCTACAAACAGATATCTTATTGTTGGCTGATATTTTTGAGAATTTTCGTTCTAATTGCTTCTCTACTTATGAATTGGATCCACTCCATTATTATACAGCGCCTGGATTAGCATTCGATGCTATGCTCAAACATACAAGAGTGAATTTAGCGCTTTTGACTGATCCTGAAATGATATTATTCATAGAAAAAGGTATCAGAGGTGGAGTATCACAATGTGCAAATAGATATGCTCAGGCCAACAATCCATTCATGGGAAAATCCTACAATGAATTCACCGAAACTTCTTATTGGATGTATTATGACGTGAATAATTTATATGCGGCCGCTATGAGCGTCAGTTTACTATGTGATTCATTTGTTTGGGTTGATAGCAATTCCGTTGGTATTCTTAATGTTCCAGATGATTCGCCAGTGGGGTATATCCTCGAAGTTGATCTGGAATATCCTCGAGAATTGCATGAACTGCATAAAGATTTTCCCCTGTGTCCTCAACATTTCACTCCGCCAGCGTTTTGGAACTTCTTTTAACACGTTTCACTCCTTTTCCACTATTCGAAAATTCTGGTGCAGCTGTTATACTAACATCGTCAGTCGAATTGACTAGTGAATAATAATCTCTACCTGGAGTATCTAATATTTTCAGTCTCTCTAATGTTTTCAGTCTCTCATCTATTACTCGAATGACTGTGAGGTTCTCTGTCATGAGCTTTTGAAGAGGGCAAATCTTGAAATTTTCAATTGCCCGCTTGAGAACTTTCATGGAAACTGTATCATTATCTTCGACGGCATCAGCAATATGGCATAAACGCTTGTTCTTTATATCAAATTGTCCGTCTGCTGTGAGCTTCAAGCCTCGACCTGGGGGTCCTTGAATATTTCAAGACCCAGGTCCAGTAGGATTCAAGCGTCGTCCAAACACATTAACGCTCATTTTGTAACTGATAGATTCATGATGTGCCCACTCCTAATATATCAATTTAGCTTCCCGCAGTTCCTCGATGATTGAAATTATTTCATTATTATGACTATTGTTACCAGCCGCTTGGGATACATACAACAATAGGAGTCGATCCACCAGCTCGTTGGGATCATCCCAGCACACATAATCAATATTACGCTTCCTCTTCGCAATCATTTGATTCGAGAATCCTTTCCCATGTGGAGTCTGTATCATGAAATTCACAAACTTTTCACGATTGTGTCGCCTCAATCCTTTCGTCGGATTGAAATATTTTCGTGAATGCTCTCTCATCACTATGTGTAATTTTCTCCGCATTGGTTTCTTTTTTGAATAGTATTTCGAGAAGTCCTGGAGTGTGAACATATCTTTTACCACCAATTACTATTGTCTCTCTTTCAAATTGAATCGGTATCATCCCAATCACCCAATTACCCAATTTACGGATCCCCGTTATCAAGTCCAATTTTCTTTTCCCATCCGAAGTATCAAATAATTATAAATATTCTTGTGATAGATTATGGATATCTCCATCTCCTACAGAATCAGAATCATCATCTTCATAGTCAATATTTTCAATTTCCATACCGGAAAATTATGGTATGGCAGCATTCGTATCCAACTCTGATCCTGTTGGTGGTCTTCTCGAGATGTTTGAATCCTCAGTTTACTCAATTGGTGGGATCTTGACCGGGATGTCAGAATCATCTGTTTTTATCACTCGTTTCCGTAAGTTAGATGATTCGAGAAATTTGTGCTTCTTCAATTTCGTTATTCTCCGAGGAATTTCAGCATTAGCAGTTTTATCCACTAGTTCCTACAATGGAGTAACCACTGGTTGGAAAACTTAATTCAGAGTTTTTTCGGTGTCTTCTCTACCCAATTTTATTAGCTTATGCTTTTCACGAATTGCTTTACTCGCGTCTGCAATTTCTTGTAGGACATGTTTCTCTTTATTCAAGATAGAACTTGCCATGTTGAAGCTCTGGATGCGACTGCTGGGAGAAATCATACGCATTATATATTTATAAAACAATCGAATCCTCTTCGATAACGACCATCATTAAGTTCTCTATCCTTCTCGATCACTAAGAAGCTGTATTTATCAGCATTCCAACATGAGGAACATATATCTTTGAATTGGTTGTAGGACATATCTGTATTGACATGATCTTCATATATATGTCGCAGATTCTTATCATCTTGCTTGAATAAGATTAATAAATTTGCATTATCACGTACAAGATGTTTTGGGATACGTGTATATATCTGACAAAGATAGAAACAATCAATATTTCGATGTCGTCCTATACAAAAAAATGCGCGCATATTATCTTGTCTTTCACATGCAACATCATCAAAGATGAAAATGGAATTAGGATGCGCATCTTCCGGTTTTATCACTTCTTCATGCTCGTTCAGAAAGCGTTTTGTAAAATCACCAAGAATATTACCAGTACCCGGAAAAATTGGTGGAGTACTACCGTTCTTCATTCCCTTATTTGCTGGTTTAAGTGCCANTTGTAAAATCACCAAGAATATTACCAGTACCCGGAAAAATTGGTGGAGTACTACCGTTCTTCATTCCCTTATTTGCTGGTTTGAGTGCCACGGGAGCTTTAGCCGGAGGCGCCGCAGGAATCACAAAAGCTGTGAACGATGCAAAAGCAGCTAAGCACTATCTTGAGGAGAGTAAACGCCACAATCAGGCCATGAAAGCAATCGCCATGGGCAATGGACTGCATTTGAAGCTTTATAACACAGGATTGGGACTTCATTTAAAACCAAAAAACTCAAAGCTCCCCCACCGAGCCCTCAGCAATGCCGATATCATAAAGTTCTGCAAACTCATGAAAATTCCATATTTTCGAGGGGTTTATATGAGAAATGCATTGCCTAAAAGCGGACCTCGGCAAAACGCATCAGCTATAGTGAATTCAAATAATAGAGATGGTCCCGGCACTCACTGGGTGGCATACAAGGAACGGAACAATGAAGTTATTTATTTTGATAGTTTTGGGGATTTACAACCACCAAAAGAATTGATGAATTATTTCGGTGTTGGTAGCCTTATTAAATATAATCATCAAAAGTATCAAGAATGTGACACAATTATATGCGGTCATCCATGCCTTAAGTTTCTCAATGGACAGTTATAAATATCGCAGATATTGATGTATCAAGTTATTTCATAGCAGACAGCCATGGACGAAACTTTCACGTTGACACTGTCAGGCACGTCTTCCATTTTGGAAGCGAATTATCCCCCCCCCTCCCATTGAATTATCCCTCAATCATCACTATAGTTTGGCTCTTGTTGAATTACTGACATTCAATTCGATTCCAAATATCAGAGAAAGGAATAATAAATTCTACTACTCTGCTAATATAATGAGTATACGATTAACATTCCAGCAGGCAGTTATGAGATTGAAGATATTCAAAATTATTTGCAAAAGGTTCTGGAAAAAAGAGGAGGTGCGATAGCTTGAAAACCAATAACAATACTTTGTGCAGTAAAATCAAAAGTGATCATACAATTAATTTTGAACCCTCTGATTCAATTGGTAGACTAATCGGATTCAAAAATAGAATCTTATCACCTGATAAAACCCACGTATCGGATTTGCCAGTAAGTATTCTCAAGCTGAATTCTATGTGTGTGGAGTGTAACATCACTGGAGGTGCTTATGTTAATGGCAAGAAGGTTCATATTATCCATGAATTCTTTCCCACTGTGCCACCAGGATATAAGATTATCGAAGTCCCGAAAAATCTCATTTATCTTCCGATCGTGGTCCAAGCAATAGATCATCTTCAGCTGAAATTTGTAGATCAAGACGGTGAATTATTAGATTTCCGAGGAGAAATAATAACAATAAGACTTCACATCAAACGGACCTAATGGGTATCGTTTTCCACACCAAGATTGGGAAGAGTTATAAAAGGGAGTCATCTCCCCGAAGGATGAGCAGTCCTCAAAGACCTAGCAAACCGTTAACATGTGAGAGCATCCAGTTCCTTAAGAGTTTAAATTTGAGACCTCGAGTGTGAATTCTATCATAGATAACAAACAAAAATGGAAGACATCTAGAAAATTCAAAAATCTATCGTCTTAGACGAGTCGGTATCTCACTATGAGATGCATACACATCAACCCTTCGGGTCATCAACGTATGGTAATAATGATGAAATCTCAATTAGTGTGCAACATAAAGATTTATGTTTATTACCTAGTAAGAGCCATCTACATATTTATGGTCGATTGACCACTGACAATGGGACAACACCAACACAGAGGACAAGATTCGTGAGCAATGCCATCTGTAATTTTTTCGAGGAAATTCGGTGTGAGCTCAATGGAACAGAGGGTGATCGAGCAAAAAATGTGGGTTTAACGAATCTCATAAAAAACTACGTTTCTCAAAGTCTTAACCAATGGTTCCTAATGGAGAATGCCGGTTGGCTTAAGAATGATAGCATGGATAGTGATGAGACAATCACTGATAACGCAGGATATTTCGACATCTCTATACTATTAAGCCTGCTATTTGGCTTTGCCGAAGATTATCAGAAAATTGTTGTGAATCCAAAACATGAACTCATTATTACGAGACCGAAAACAGACATCAGTGCAGTACTTCAGAGACCTATCGACCAAGCAAGCCCTGAGGAGAAAGGGAAGATCAACTTCCAAAAGATTGAGTGGTTAATTCACTACGTTAAAGTCTCTGATGAGCGCAAAGTGAAGCTGCTTAATTTCATCGCAAAAGACACACCTATCATGATGGGCTTTCATACATGGGAATTGTATGAGTACCCTCTGCTCCCCGCAACCTCGAAACATGTTTGGGTTGTAAAGACATCATCTCAATTGGAGAAACCTCGATATGTTATCCTTGGATCTCAAACCAATCGTAAAAACATCCAGACAGCTAATGCCAGTCACTTTGATCATTGCAACATCCGGGATGTAACGCTTTTCCTCCACTCGCAAAACTATCCATACGGAAATTTGAATTTAGATATTGCTCACAATCAGTATTCTACACTATACAATATGTATGTGAACTTTCAAGATTCTTATTATGGAAAGGAATCTGAACAGTTATTAAATAGAGAAAAATTCATAACAAATGCTCCTTTAATTGTAATCGATTGTTCTAAGCAGAATGAGTATTTGAAAACTGGCCTAGTTGATATTCGTCTGGAGTTTGAGTGCTCTTGGCCTTTTTCAGCCAGCACATCAGCGTACTGCCTCATCCTCCATGATCGAATTGTTGAATATAATCCTATCAGTGGTGGGGTTAAGAAGTTAATGTAAAAAAAATAAATATAATACTGTACATTATAAATAAATGTTTTTGTTTATTTTTTTTTAAATAAAAATTCTTGGTTTTATTGTTACAAACATTTTTCTCCTCATGGTCATACATACAATAAAATAGCATTATCAATTCAAAACGAGCTGAAATGAGTCCCGAAAACAGATTGTGCTTTGGTAATAATATAAGGTTCAACATTTTTTCACACAAATTTATCCGGCGTTGAAAACGATGGCGGTCTCGAGCTATCTCCTCCCATGGACCTCGACGAGCAGATCGATATGCATAGTACCAATGCAACATTAAATGGATCTGTGGCTCTAATTGGGAATCAATTCATTTCATCATCTTTTCTTATTGATCCTTTTCTGCAGCACTCTTACCCATCATCATTCAAATCAAATCAGCAGGCGGATGAGCACGAGAAGCGAAAAATATATCATACTGAAAACTCAGGAGTTCAATTGAAACTCGCAAGTTTTGGAAATGTCCTTTGATTATCTCCAGAGTTTGAGATAAGTTATCACAAGGATAATCCTTGTTACGTTCGAACTTGGAGTACAGATCTCTCAAGTTTTTGCGAAGTTAATAGATGAATTCCCCCAATGGTGGAAGATCAGGTGGTGCGTGAATCAATAATTTCTCCACAACTTCACTGTCATTGAGGCAGTATGATGGAACTGAGTGCAACCATTGAATTTCATTGACACTCCTTACCTCCAATTCATCCTCCTCCACGTTGGTGATTTTATCTCTCAGCTCCTCGCAGAATTTTTTCAAAATTCCCAAATTATTGATGCTCTGGATTATGTGAGATAATCCCTCAAGTCGAGTTGTACAATGAGAACAATTAGTTGTCCAATCAGGATGTCGCTCAGCTTTCAATACTTCATAATTGTCCCATAAACAATGTAAGTCAGTTACTAGGTATTTTGCGAATAAATGACAATCCTTATTGAAAGACTCACGGATCATTTCCTCATCAGTGCTGGATTCCCCATCATTCTCTTTATGAAGACAATTATGATAACACATTATGGTAACAGTTTATATCACTGTAGGATACGAGGTTCAATCAATGGAACTGGGACTCAGATTGAATGCGGAATGGATAGGGCAAGCGCGTTATACAGGGTGTTTCAGAAGTACATGTACATCTGAACACCCTAGGAGCGGGGGGGATTCTGAGCTGAAAAGTCCTGTTGCACTTTTTGATCAGACTCACCCCTAAAAAGTTATTGGCAATTAAGGGTGGGCCAATGGGGAGTGATTTTTAAGCGGGCGCACATCCATGTGATATGCAGCATATGTGTGTGTGCCCGCCCCACCATTCTACGAGACAAAAGAGCGCAACGATATTG